AGGGTACAACACTTAGGCTTATACCCTTGTACTGTTTTCTCTCGACATTCGATTCTATGTTAAGAGTTGAGCATGCTACTCATCTTACAACATGCATTTCACTCTCTCTCTCTCTCTCTCTCTCTCTCTCTCTCTCTCTCTCTCTCTCTCTCTCTCTCTCTCTCTCTCTCTCTCTCTCCCTCCCTCCCTCCCTCCCTCCCTTCCTCCCTCCCTCCCTCCCCCCCCCCCTCTCTCTCTCTCTCTCTCTCTCTCTCTCTCTCTCTCTCTCTCTCTCTCTCTCTCTCTCTCTCTCCCGCTCTCTCATTTACATGCATGCGTTACACACTTCCTTCAATGCCACCCCACCACTACCATCTCCACCCACCCACCCCCTCTTTCTGCAGAGAGTTTCGGTTTCAAGATCAATGATGCGACCCCACTACCGACTGTGCCAACCAGCAATACCCGGATTATTGAGCTCCTCGGAAACCCATGTGTTCCCAATCACTTGAGACATCTGAAGGAGCGGTAAGGATACCCGGAATATTTGCTGTTGGATGGGAGAATGAAACACAGGAAGGAAGTGCAGAATATTTGTTTGGATGGGTAAATGGATACACAGCAAGAGGAGCAGAAATGATACCCAGCATTCCTGTGGTAAATATAGATGTGGTTGCATGCAGAGAGGATAGGCACATAAACAGCGAGATGCCAGTTGGAGAAATCCAGTGCGCATGGCAGAGGTAGAGGATAGGGAGGGAAGACAGAGACAGGATGCATCAGCTCAGTTGGCTTGTTAGACTCACGGAAGGCTCCCAGTGCTCATGCCCCTCTCTGCCGTCCCAGCAAACGGATTATTGTTCAATCCGATGCACCCCCCCAGCCAGGTTATCCCCTCCCTCCCCCCCCCTCCTTCGTATAAAGCACGTGCTTTGCTATGATTAACAGAGCTCCACAAGATCACTCACGGAACGGCTGTTGAGCTGATGCCGCCTGACTGCACGGGAACCTGATCATACACGCCGAGGCACCGATGCATGTAGTGCGCGCGGATCACCCTGCAGTCGCCCGCGCCACCAGGGGCGCGCTGCACGGTGGTGGACGACCTGACGGCGGCAGCTGTGGTGGCGTCGAGCGTGGTGCAGTTGTCGTACGGCAAGCGCAGGGTGTAGGCCGCGGGCGTGAAGCCAATGCTTGGCAGCATGTAGATGGTGAAGCTGGTGGAGGAGACGGTGGGGGTGGCGCCTGCTGTGGGAAAGGGAGCATGGTGTGGCGCGGGGAGAGAGACAGAGATGCGACGAGGGGAATGGGGGTGTGGAAGGTGAAGCAGTGGGAGAGACGGGGGTGCCGCCTGAATGAAAAGGCCGAGGAGAGCACAGAGCGGGGAGGGGGGGAGGTGTTTGGGGTGGGGGAGACGGTGTGGAGGGAGAAGGAGAAGATTGTTGGGGCGTTGGGCGATGAAGATTTTTACCAAAGCGTGGACACAAGCTGTAGCCTATATCCTAGATCCTAAAACCTTCCCTACAACCTGGAGCCGGCAGAGGAGACGGTGGGGGTGGCGCCTTGATGGGAAGAGGGCATGGCAGGGCATGGCATGGCATGGCACGGCATGGCACGACATGGCACGGAATGGCATGGCACGGCATGGCATGGCATGGCATGGCATGTCATGGTATGGCATGGCATGGCATGGCATGGCATGGTGTAGTGAGCACAGCCTAGAGCAGGATGGACCATTCGGGTAGGGTGTGGAGTGAAATGATTGCTAGGGGGCGTTATGCCATGCCCTCGAAAGCAAAATGCTCAAGGTGAGGAAGGAACAATGGGCAAAATGTGCACTGTGAGTTGTACCTAGCATGCATGCATGCACTCGTCACACCCAACATGCAAGCACCACTCACCACACCTTGCATCCAAGCACCACTAACATTGAAGCACCAGTAACATGCAAGCACCGGTAACATGCAAGCGCCGGTAACATGCAAGCACCGGTAACATGCAAGCACCAATAACATGCAATGCAAGCACCACTAACATGCAAGCACCAGTAAGCACCCCTAACATGCAAGCACCACGAGTTCGCCATACCTTGCACGCAGCCAGTGTCGGTCATGCCATAGCCGGGAGCACACAGGCAGAACGCAGCTGAGGATTTGGGCATCTGGGTGCACGTGGCTCCCACAGGGCACTTGCCACACGGGCTGGTGGCTGTGGAAAGGGAGAGAAGAGGGGAGCAGAGAGGGCGAGAAGAGGGGAGCAGAGAGGGAGAGAATAGGGGAGCAGAGAGGGAGAGAATAGGGGAGCAGAGAGGGAGAGTATAGGGGAGCAGAGAGGGAGAGAATAGGGGAGCCGAGAGGGAGAGTATAGGGGAGCAGAGAGGGCGAGAAGAGGGGAGCAGAGAGGGAGAGAATAGGGGAGCCGAGAGGGAGAGTATAGGGGAGCAGAGAGGGAGAGAATAGGGGAGCCGAGAGGGAGAGTATAGGGGAGCAGAGAGGGCGAGAAGAGGGGAGCAGAGAGGGAGAGAATAGGGGAGCCGAGAGGGAGAGTATAGGGGAGCAGAGAGGGAGAGAATAGGGGAGCAGAGAGGGAGAGAATAGGGGAGCAGAGAGGGAGAGAATAGGGGAGCCGAGAGGGAGAGAATAGGGGAGCCGAGGGTGAGACACTGCAGCACATAGCCCATGCAAGGCTAAGCACAAAGCAGCACGTACCACCGCAAGCACAGGAGCACGTACCACCGCAAGCACAGGAGCACGTACCAATGCATGACTAGCCATCAGGCTGCAGGGACATGTCTGGGTCGCACACGCAGGACGCTTTTCCTTCAGTGTCCACCTTGCACGTGGCGTTGGCCCCACATGCCAGGGCCTTACATACGTCTGGGAAGGGGGGGAGAGGGGGGGCAGAAGGGGGGGGCGTGGAAAGAGAGAAGAGACTTGAGTTGATTCAAGAGTCAGCAGTGTCTATCTTGGACGTGCTGCTGGCAGCACCGGGCATGGGCGTACAAAGGTCTGTGAGGGGAGGCGGGAAGGAGAGGGGAAGGAGGGAGGAATCCACAGAGCATGGTACGCTTTTGACTCGACTCAAAAGCTACGCATGGACGCTGTGCTGCGAAACAGACTTTGCTGCAGAGGAGCGGCTTTTGAGTCGACTCAACAGCTAAGGGGGAGGAGGGAGGGATCCGTAGAGCATGATGCGCCTGATGGTTTTGGTGCGAAACAGACTTTGCTGCTATGAGCAGGATCAGTCGCATCGTAGCAAGCCAATGGGAGGAGAGGAAAAAAGGGAAGTGCGCGTATGCAGGCAGGCATGCACGATGAAAGTTTGCGAGCAAGGGAGCAGGAAAGGTGAGTTCGCGTGGCATCAGGTCCTAAGGGGAAGGGGCAAAACCTGCACTCTGGGTGTGGGGAAAAACCCAGCTGATGCGAGTAATGCTCGCCCTGCCATTTGCACCATCACATGCACCAGCACCATCACATGCACCGGCACCATCACATGCACCGGCACCATTACACGCACCAGCACCATCACACCAGCACTCACCCAGACCAGTGCAGCTGAAGGAGCGGAAAGGATACCCGGAATAGTGATTGTTGGATGGGAGAGCAAACATACAGGCGAAGGGGCGGGTTACAGAGGAGAAAGATTAGTGGTGTGTCTCAGAAGTCACCCAACGGGTGGGTGCAGAGGAGAAAGATTAGCGGTGAACGAGGGAAATATGACACCCTAAACCTCTGACTCGACTCAGCAGTCACCCAAGGGTAGGGTACAGAGGGGAGAGATACGTGGTGGTGCCTGGGGAGGGAAATCCCTGGGGTGATAATGGGTTGGGTGGCAAGCAAGGTTAGGTCGGGTGGCAAAGCAACTCATGCGATGCCTGAACCGCTGAGGCTGGTGCCCGGCTGGCCAGGCGGCGCAGCACTCCCTCCGCGACACCCAGCCTCGGTGAACCCAGTCACATTGTCGCAGTTCCACGCCGTTCCAACGGGCAAGTGGTCAATACGTGACACGGACTGTATGTTGGAGAAGATGGATTCTGGGAGATTCGCGCAGCTGTTGAAGTTGAGGCGCACGGCGTACGTGTTGGGGGTTCAGACGAAGCTGGGCTGGTCGTAGAAGGTGAACTGGGTGGCCGAGACAGTGGGGATGGCGCCTGGGAGGGGGGAGAGAGGGGAGTGGGTTGCACAGGGGAAGAATGATGGTAGGTGCTGGGCGCTCGGATGAACGTGGGCTGCTGGTAGAAGGTGAACTGGGTGGATGAATCGGTGGTGGCGGCGCCTGCAAGGGGGAGAAAGGCGGACGGGAACACAGGGAAGGGGAGGGAAGAGGGGATGGGGGGAGGGGGGTGAAAATTGGGGAATGGGTTGCATGGGGAAAGAATCTTGGTAGGTGTTGGGCGTTCGGGTGAATGTAGGCTGGTCGTAGAAGGTGAAGCCGGTGGACGACTCGGTGGTGGCAGCGCCAGTAAGGGGGGTTGAGAACACAGGGAGAGGGGTGAAGAGAGGGGAAAGGAGGTGCAGAGTTGGCACAGAGCATGGCTAGAATACAACTGGCGTTACGGAGTACAACGGGAATAACTTAACCCGATTATACTTAGGATACAAGTAGCGTTACGAGAGTACGGCAGAAATACGATAACACAATCATACTTAGAATACAACTAGTGCTGATAATACCCAGAAAGCCAGAGTAACGTGTGTCAGCATCGGTTAAACTTAGGATACAACTAGTATTGGTCACTCCAGGAAAGCCAGCATAGCAAGTGCGTTACCTTGAACACACCCATTGCTGGTCATCCCATAGCTGGCCGGGCAGTAGCAGTAGGGAGCGTTGGTGAAGACGGTTCCGCATATGACTCCAGAAGGGCAGGTCCCACACAAGGCGGGCCCTGCGGGGATGAGAGAGAGGAAGGTGAGATGAGAAACTAGGGAGTAGCATAGGAGCAGATAGTGGAAGACAGGTGATGAGAAGGGTCAGCCGAAGGAAGCAGAGAGCATGTGGCTCCAGCAAAGCGGCTCCCTCACGTGGTGGGCCCTGTGGAGTTGAGCGGCAAGGGGGAGGAGCACATGCTCGAGGCGAGTTGGGCCACCCCTTTCGACAACTCGGCTCATCTAGAAAACAGGCCCAGCCGAGCCAAGCCCAGGCGCCGGGTTTGCTTTTTGCTCAAGCCTACGCAGAAAGGTTGGGCACTTGGGTGCCACGAAGAAATCACGGAATAGACAATACAAGGGCCAAGAAGATGGAGGCCACTATCACACGTGCTTGTTAAGCCGGATCAAACTGCCACTTATCACGCAATGACAAGCGAGAAGGAAGGGAGCAGATAGTGAAACAGGTAGGGGTGCAACAGATAGGGGTGGAATAGATAGGGGTGGAACTGGCACGTACGTATCGACACACGTGCTGGGAAATGCTGATAGCCTCCCCTTGAGTCGACTTAGAAGCAACCTCGACTCAAAAGCCGACTCTCTAAATGCCACTACCACGTACCGACACACACGCTGGAAACATTCTGATAGCCCGCCTTGCAAACACAGGATGCCACGCCTGCAGCGTCCGTCACACAGTCGGTTGTGGGATCGCAGATCTTGGTGGTGCAGCCCTCTGAGGAGAGGGGTGGATGGGAGGGGAGCATTGAGCAAGAGAGCTAGCGCGTGCATGCACGCATGTGTCTTTGAGTCTACACATGTACATACCAGCCCACACCAGCCCACACCAGCCCACACCAGCACACACCAGCCCACACCAGTCCACACCAGCCCACACCAGCCCAGACCAGACCAGACCAGCCCAGACCAGCACACACCAGCCCACACCAGTCCACACCAGCACACACCAGCCCACACCAGCCCAGACCAGACCAGACCAGCCCAGACCAGCCCAGACCAGCCCACACCAGCCCACACCAGCCCAGACCAGCCCACACCAGCCCACACCAGCACACACCAGCACACACCAGCACACACCAGCACACACCAGCACACTCCAGCACACACCAGCACACACCAGCACACACCAGCACACACCAGCACACACCAGCACACTCCAGCACACACCAGCACACACCAGCACACACCAGCACACACCAGCACACACCAGCGCACACCAGCACACACCAGCACGCACCATCACAGACCAGCACACACCAGCCCACACCAGCCAACACCAGCACACACCAGCCCACACCAGCACACACCAGCACACACCAGCACACACCAGCACACACCAGCACACACCAGCACACACCAGCACGCACCAGCACACACCAGCTCGCACCAGCACACATCAGCACAAATCAGCACACCAGCACACACCAGCACACACCAACACACACCAGCATACACCAGCACACACCAGCACATGCCTTGCCATCGGGTTGCAGAAGATAACCGGCATTGCAAACACATGAGGCCACTCCAGCAGAGTCGATCTTGCACATGCTGTTCCCAACACAGCCTAGGGCTGCGCACCGGTCTGTAAGGGGAAGGGGTGAAGGGATTCGGGAGCTTGCAGGCGGGTGGTGGGAGCCAGCAGCTGTAGAGCATGAAGTGTGCCGACTCACAAGGAATGGTGCGTTTGAAAATAATCTAGGAGCACACACTGTGGGCACACACTGTGGGCACACACTGTGGGCACACACTGTGGGCACACACTGTGGGCACACACTCGGAGCACACACTGTGAGCTCACACTGTGAGCACACACTGTGAGCACACACTGTGAGCACACACTGTGAGCACACACAGTGAGCACACCCTAGGAGCAAACGACCAATACATTTGAGTTGACGCTGAGTTGACTCAACACGCACCTAGGCCCTAGGATACCCATGCGTCCCATGCGTCCCATGTGCCCCATGCATCCCATGCGTCCCATGCGTCCCATGCGTCCCATGCGTCCCATCCCATGTGTTTCATGCGTCTCATGCGTCCCTAAGGACTCACCAGGACCAATGCAGCTGAAGGAGGGGTACTGATACCAGGGATAATTTCAGTCAGGTCCGATCCAAGCAGCGGTATTGGTACCCAGTTGACCCTAATCTGTGATTAGGATTCACTCACCAGGACCAGCACAGCTGAAGGAGCGGTACTGATACCCGGGATAGTTGCTGTTGGATGGGAAAACCAGAAAACAAGCACACGGGTGAAGGAGCGGTGAGACTACATACAGAGGAGAAGAAAAAACCGGCTGGATGAAGGGAGAAACACCCAACGATGCCAGCAGGCTTGCAGGCCTGCATGTTGAGAGTTTGGAGAGAAATCACTCTCGTGGCTCGGAGACCATGTCTATAGGCATAGAATTCGTTCCTCTGGGTACACCCCGTACACGCCAACACCGAAGTGCGCGGCATGTCAAACAAGATCCGCTGAAGCCAGTGCCAGGCTGGGGCGGCATCGAGGTGCCCGAATCCCTACACCTCGCCTCGGTGTACCCGATCACAGTGCAGCAGTCCCGGCCCCAAGTGGAACATGCCAACACAGAGGCGCACAGCATGTCTAGCATGGTTGGGTCGGTAGGTAACTCACGGGATGCCAGATCTGCTGAGGCCAGTGCCGGGCTGGGGCGGCATCGAGGTGCTGTATCCCTTGCACCCAGCCTCCATGTACCCGACCACAGTGGTGCAGTCACCCACCCCAGCGGGCACGCGATCAGCACGCCCCACTGACTTGATCCCCTCGGCCACGGCTGCAGAGAGGTCTGTGCATGCGTTGAAGTCCAGGCGCAGGATGTAGGTGTTGGGGGTTCGGACGAATTTGGGCTGGTCGTAGAAGGTGAAGGTGGTGGACGAGACGGTGGGGACGGTGCCTGTAAGGGGGGCGGGAACACATGGGGGTTTGTGGTTATTGCAACCATTGTTGCTGCAGGGCAGGCGCATGGTGTAGGTGCGATCAGCTCGCCCCCACCGACTTGATCCCCACGGCCACGGCTGCAGAGAGGACTGGGGGGGGGAGGGGCGGGCAGGGGGACAAGGGGGTGGGACAAGGAGGAGAACGTAGAGGGGTGAACAGAGGGGAATGGGGGCGAGCAGAGGGGAATGGGGAGGGGCAGGGAAAAGAATGAGATGAATAGCTTGAATCCAACTAGAATAACTAAGTGCGTGAGGGAGGGTGCATTAATAGAACACGAGTCGCATTGGTCTTACTACGCATGCAGCCACCGCTGGTGACGCCATAGCCGGGGGGGCAGAAGCGAGAGCAGCTTGGACCGGAGCACGCTTCAAAAACAGAGGAAGCTTTGGGCATAGCGAGGAGGCAAGCACCGTTGGACTTACCTTTGACGCAGCCAGTGCTGGTGAGGCCGTAGCCAGGAGCACAGTAGCAGTAGGCAGCGCCAAAATAGGAACCACATATGAAGCCGGTAGGGCAGTTGCCACAAAAGGCGGGCACCGGGGTGGGGAGGTGAGAAGAGAGGGGTGAGAAGAGAAGGGTGAGAAGAGAGGGGTGAGAAGAGAAGGGTGAGAAGAGAGGGGCGAGAAGAGAAGGGTGAGAAGAGAGGAGTGAGAAGAGAGGGGTGAGAAGAGAGGGGCGAGAAGAGAAGGGTGAGAAGAGAAGCAAGGCAGAAGCAAGGGAGAAGGTCAGAAGCAAGGGAGAAGGTCAGAAGAAAGGGAGAAGGTCAGAAGCAAAGGAGAAGGTCAGAAGCAAGGGAGAAGGTCAGAAGCAAGGGAGAAGGTCAGAAGCAAGGGAGAAGGTCAGAAGCACGGGAGAAGGTCAGAAGCAAGGGAGAAGGTCAGAAGCAAGGGAGAAGGTCAGAAGCAAGGGAGAAGGTCAGAAGCAAGGGAGAAGGTCAGAAGCAAGGAAGAAGGTCAGAAGCAAGGGAGAAGGTCAGAAGCAAGGGAGAAGGTCAGAAGCAAGGGAGAAGGTCAGAAGCAAGGAAGAAGGTCAGAAGCAAGGGAGAAGGTCAGAAGCAAGGGAGAAGGTCAGAAGCAAGGGAGAAGGTCAGAAGCAAGGGAGAAGGTCAGAAGCAAGGGAGAAGGTCAGAAGCAAGGGAGAAGGTCAGAAGAAAGGGAGAAGGTCAGAAGCAAGGGAGAAGGTCAGAAGCACGGGAGAAGGTCAGAAGCGAAGGTCAGAAGCAAGGGAGAAGGTAAGAAACAAGGGAGAAGGTCAGAAGCAAGGGAGAAGGTCAGAAGCAAGGGAGAAGTTCAGAAGCAAGGGAGAAGGTCAGAAGCAAGAGAGAAGGGAGTGAGAACAGAGGGAGTAAGCACAGGTGGAGTAAGAACAGAGGGAGGAAGAACAGAGGGAGAAAGAATAGAGGGAGTAAGAACAGAGGGAGTATGAACAGAGGGAGTATGACCAGAGGGAGTGAGAACAGCGGGAGTAAGAACATGGGGAGTAAGAACAGAGGGAGGAAGAACAGAGGGAGGAAGAACAGAGGGAGGAAGAACAGAGGATGTAAGAACAGAGTGAGGAGGAACATACTGAGGGAGGATGAACAGAGGGAAAAGAACAGAGGGAGTAAGAACAGAGGGAGTAAGAACAGAGGGAGTAAGACCAGAGGAAGTGAGAACAGGGGGAGTAAGAACAGGGGGAGAAACAACAGAGGGAGGAAGAGCAGACGGAGGAAGAACAGAGGGAGGAAGAACAGAGGGAGGAAGAACAGAGGGAGTAAGAACAGAGGGAGGAAGAACAGGGGGAGTAAGAACACAGGGAGGAAGAACAGAGGGAGGAAGAACAGAGGGAGGAAGAACAGAGGGACAAAGAACAGAGGGAGTAAGAACAGAAGGAGGAAGAACAGAGGGAGGAAGAACAGAGGGAGTAAGAACAGAGGGAGGGAGAACAGAGGGAGTAGGAACAGAAGGAGGAAGAACAGAGGGAGGAAGAACAGAGGGAGGAAGAACAGAGGAAGTTAGAACAAAGGGAGGAACATACTGAGGGAGGAAGAAGAGAGGGAGGATGAACAGAGGGAGTAAGAACAGAGGGAAAGGACAGTGGGAGTAGGACCAGAGGGAGTGAGAACAGGGGGAGTAGAACAGAGGAAGTAAGAACAGTGTGAGGAAGAACAGAGCGAGGAAGAACAAAGGAAGAAAGAACAGAGGGAGAAAGAGCAGAGGGAGGAAGAACAGAGGGAGTAAGAACAGAGGGATTAGGAACAGAGGGAGGAAGAACAGAGGGAGGAAGCACAGAGCGACGAAGTACAGAGAAATTATGAACAGAGGGAGGAGGAACAGAGGGAGGAAGAACAGAGGAACGAGTAAGAACAGAGGGAGTAAGACCAGAGGGAGTGAGAACAGGGGGAGTTAGAACAGAGGGAGGAAGAACAGAGGGAGGAAGAACAGAGGGAGGAAGGACAGAGGAAGAAAGAGCAAAGGGAGCAGAATAGAGGGAGGAAGAACAGAGTGAGTAAGAGCAGAGGGAGGGAGAACAGAGGGAGTACGAACAGAGGGAATAGGAACAGAAGGAGGAAGAACAAAGGGAGGAAGATCTGAGGAAGTTAGAACAAAGGGAGGAGGAACATGCTGAGGGAAGAAGAACAGAGGGACGAAGAACAGAGGGTAAGGACAGAGGGAGTTAGACGAGAGGGAGTGAAAACAGGGGGAGTAAAACAGAGGGAGTAAGAACAGAGGGAGAAAGAAAATAGGGAGGACGAACAGAGGGAGAAAGAGCGGAGGGAGAAAGAGCGGAAGGAGGAAGAGCGGAGGGAGGAAGAACAGAGGGAGGAAGAACAGATGGAGTAAGAACAGAGGGAGTAGGAACAGAGGGTGTAAGAACAGAGGGAGGAAGAACAGAGGGGGGAAGCACAGAGGGAGGAAGAACAGAGAAAGTAAGAACAGAGGGAGGAGGAACATACTGTGGGAGGAAGAACAGAGAGAGCAAGAACAGAGGGAGTACGAACAGAGGGAGTAAGGACAGAGGGAGTAAGACCAGAGGGAGTGAGAACAGGGGGAGTAAGATCAGGGGGAGGAAGAACAGAGGGAGGAAGAACAGAGGGAGTAAGAACAGAGGGAGTAAGACTGGAGGGAGGAAGAACAGAGGGAGGAAGATCAGAGGGAGTAAGAACAGAGGAACGAGAAAGTACAGAGGGAGTGAGAACAGGGGGAGTAAGAACAGAGGGAGGAAGAACAGAGGGAAGAAGAAACGAAGGAGGAAGAACAGAGGGAGAAAGAGCGGAGGGAGCAGAAGAGAGGGAGGAAGAACAGAGGGAGGAAGAACAGAGGGAGTAGGAACAGTGGGAGTAAGAACAGAGGGAGGAAGAACAGTTGGAGTAAGAGCAGAGGGATTTTGAACAGAGGGAGTATGAACAGAGGGAGGGAGAACAGAGGGAGTAAGAACAGAGGGAGTAGGAACAGAAGGAGGAAGAACAGAGGGAGGAAGAACAGAGGGAGGAAGAACAGAGGAAGTAAGAACAAAGGGAGGAGGAACATACTGAGGGAGGAACAACAGAGGAAGGAAGAACTGAGGGAGTAAGAACAGAGGGAGTAAGGACTGAGGGAGGCAGAACAGAGGGAGTAAGAACAGAGGCTGTAAGAATGGAGGGAGTAAGAACAGAGGGAGTAAGAACAGAGGGAGTGGGAACAGAGGAACGTGTAAGTACAGAGGAAGTAAGACCAGAGGGAGTGAGAACAGGGGGAATAATAACAGAGGGAGGAAGAACAGAGGGAGGAAGAAAAGAAGGAGCAAGAACAGAGGGAGAAAGAGCGGAGGGAGCAGAATAGAGGGAGGAAGAACAGAGGGATGAAGAACAGAGGGAGTAGGATCAGTGGGAGTAGGAACTGAGGGAGTATGAACAGAGGGAGTAAGAACTGAGGGAGTAAGAACAGAGGGAGGGAGAACAGAGATAGTAAGAACAGAGGGAGTAGGAACATAAGGAGGAAGAACAGAGGGAGGAAGAACAAAGGAAGTAAGAACAGAGGGAGGAGGAACAGAGGGAGTAAGAACACAGGGTAAGGACAGAGGCAGTAAGACCAGAGGGAGTGAGCACAGGTGGAGTGAAACAGAGGGAGTAAGAACAGAGGGAGGAAGAACAGAGGGAGGAGGACCAGAGGGAGGAAGAACAGAGGGAGTAAGAATAGAGGGAGGAAGAACACAGGGAGGAAGAACAGAGAAGGTAAGAACAGAGGGAGGAGGAACATATCGAGGGAGGAAGAACAGAGGGAGGAGAGGGAGCAAGAACAGAGGGAGTAGGACCAGAGGGAGTGAAAAATGGGGGAGTAAGAACAGGAGGAGTAAGAACAGAGGGAGAAAGAACTAAGGGAGGAAGAACAGAGGAAGGAAGAACAGAGGGAGAAAGAACAGAGGGAGGAAGAACAGAGGGAGTAAGAACGAAGTGTGGAAGAACAGAGGAAGGAAGAACAGTGGGAGTAAGAACAGAGGGAGTAAGAGCAGAGGGAGGAAGAACAGAGGGAGGAAGATCAGAGGGAGTAAGAACAGAGGAACGAGAAAGTACAGAGGGAGTGAGACCAGAGGGAGTGAGAACAGGGGGAGTAAGAACAGAGGGAGGAAGAACAGAGGGAGGAAGAAAGGTTGGAGGAAGAACAGAGGGAGAAAGAGCGGAGGGAGCAGAAGAGAGGGAGGAAGAACAGAGGGAGGAAGAACAGAGGGAGTAGGAACAGTGGGAGTAAGAACACAGAGAGTAAGTACAAAGGGAGGAAGAACAGAGGGAAGAAGAAAAGAGGAAGTAAGAACTGAGGGAGTAAGAACAGAGGGAGTAAGAACAGAGGGAGTGAGAACAGGGGGAGTAAGAACAGGGGGCTAGTAACAGAGGGAGGAAGAAGAGAGGGAGGAAGAACAGAGGGAGGAAGAACAGAGGGAGAAAGAGCGGAGGGAGGAAGAACAGAGGGAGGAAGATCAGAGGGAGTAAGAACAGAGGAACGAGAAAGTACAGAGGGAATACGACCAGAGGGATTGAGAACAGGGGGAGTCAGAACAGAGGGAGGAAGAACAGAGGGAGAAAGAGCGGAGGGAGCAGAAGAGAGGGAGGAAGAAAAGAGGGAGGAAGAACACAGGGAGTAGGAACAGAGGGAGTAGGAACAGAGGGAGTATGAACAGAGGGAGTAAGAACAGAGGGATTAAGAACAGAGGGAGGCAGAACAGAGGGAGGAAGAACAGAGGGACTAAGAACAGAGGCAGTAAGAACAGAGGGTGTAAGAACAGAGGGAGTAATAAAAGGAGGATGAACAGAGGGAGAAAGAGTGGAGGGAGGAAGAACACAGGGACGAAGAACAGAGGAAGTGAGAACAGAGGGTGGAAGAACAGAGCGAGTAAGACCAGAGGGAGTGAGAACAGGGGGAGTAAGAACAGGGGGAGTAAGAACAGAGGGAGTAAGAACAGAGGGAGTAAGAACAGGGGGAGTAAGGACATAGGGAGTAAGACCAAGAGGGAGTGAGAACAGGGGAGTAAGAACAGAGGGAGGAAGGACAGAGGGAGGAAGAACAGAGGGAGAAAGAGCGGAGGGAGGAAGAACAGAGGGAGTAAGAACAGAGGGAGGAAGAACAGATGGAGGAAGAACAGAGGGAGTAAGAACAGAGGGAGTAAGAACAGAGGGAGTAAGAACAGAGGGAGTAAGAACAGGGGGTGTGAGAACAGAGGGAGTAAGAACAGAGGGAGTAAGAAAAGAGGGAGGGAGAACAGAGGGTGAAATAGCGGAGGGAGGAAGATCACAGGGAGGAAGAACAGAGGAAGTAAGAACAGAGGGAGGAAGAACAGAGGAAGGAAGAAGAGAGGGAGGAAGCACAGAGGGAGTAAGACCAGAGGGAGTGAGAACAGGGGAGTAAGAACAGGGGGAGTAAGAACAGAGAGGGAAAGAACAGGGGGAGTAAGAACAGAGGGAGTAAGAACAGAGGGAGTAAGAAAAGAGGGAGGAAGAAAAGAGGGAGAAAAAGAGGAGGGAGGAAGAACAGAGGCAGGACGAACAGAGGGAGTAAGAACAGAGAGAGTAAGACCAGAGGGAGTGAGAATAGGGGGAGTACTAGCAGGGGGAGTAAGAACAGATGGAGGAAGAACAAAGGGAGGAAGAACACAGGTAGAAGGAACAGAGGGAGTAAGAACAGAGGGAGTAAGAACAGAGGGAGTAAGAAAAGAGGGAGAAATAACAGAGGGAGAAAGAGAGGAGGGAGGAAGAACAGAGGGAGGAAGATCAGAGGAGTTAAGAACAGAGTGAGTAAGAACAGAGGGAGTAAGAACAGATGGAGGAAGAACAGAGGGAGGAAGAACAGAGGGAGGAAGAACAGAGGGAGTAAGAGCAGAGGGAGTATGAACAGAGGGAGTAAGAACAGAGGGAGTAAGAACACAGGGAGTAAGAACAGAGTGATTAAGAACAGAGGGAGGAAGAACAGAGGGAGGAAGAACAGAACAGACTCTATTTCTCCTCTGCTACAGTAGGCTCACAAATACACCAAGTATTCTTTAATATCGCCATTTCCGTCGACGGTCTTTATCTGGCGCAGGGACAAACAAGCTGTACAGTCCGCTGCCTGAGAAACCCACCTTTGACGGGACTCGCCGCAGTGTGACTTTACAGACTTGGCCAAAAAGCCGATTCTATCATGTGCGATTTAAACAAACACTTGGGTGTACGGCACTTGCAAACCTGGAAAATAAAAACCCCTCTAATATCGCTCCAGTTGGTGGCGGCCCTTCCAACAGCCATTTCGCATGGGTACTCAATCTTCAGCGCTCTGGGAAATTAATGGATCGATCTGTCGAGCAAACCTGCATATCCGTGGAGTTCGAAATCGTTGGGCGTAGGGCAGTCCTCCCAGCAGCCACCATCGGCTCTTACATTCCTCTCCTCCCCCCTTTCCCCCCTAAAGCTTAGATTCTTCTTTTGCGCTCCGCGTGAGCCACGGCGCAACCCACGGTGCCCGTGGATACCGGTGGCCATACAATCATAGATTAATTCAGGCTTCCCTGGATAACCGCAGGAGGGTATCCTTGAGGGGGATACCCAGCGGGAGGCGGATAACCCTGCGGGGGATACCCCGCGGGTGGCGGGTAACCGGCGGGAGGAGCGCCGGGGTACCCCGCAGGTGGAGGGTATCCCGCGGGCGGGTAACCCTGCTGCGGTGGGTAACCTCCTGGGTAACCCTGCGGAGGCGGATACCCGTGGAGATACCTCGGATCTGCAGTCACACGTGGGAAATAGGGGAACCCGCAATGATTAACATAAAACAACCTAATAAAATGGTTCGTAAGAGGAGAGTAGTTACATCCAATCCAGGGAAGGAGCGATCGGCGGATACTGTCGTTCTTACCCGACATGACAGCAAAATGGCCGGTCCAAGGGGTCAGGAATGACTACGCCTTAGCTCACGAAATGAGTTCTAGGCCTAGCCAGTGCAACTTCGTCACTGCCCCTCCGTGACTTTACAGCTCCCCTTGCACACTGCCAGTAACTCGGAGAGCTCAAGAATTGAAGCAGGTGCGCCTCACCATGCACACGTCATGGTTCGAATCTGGCTGCTGCAAAGATCGATTGGTCAGTGGAACTGAGGGGAAGGGAAGGGGAAAGTGGGGCATTGAGTGTGAAGGCGGCATAGCCCCTGCGCCGGACCTGCGCCTGGTCAATGTGAAGCCTGAAGAACGTTGCAGTACGATTTAGTACGTTTTTACGTGGTGATCCAAACCTGCGTCCTCCTGCCACATCTGGAGCTAGGAGGCGATATGGGAGCCAGGTCTGGGGAGGAGAAAGTGTATTGCGCCGTCTGCCTGGTTCCAGCAGGCACCAACCAACAGCACCCACGTGCCCGTCCCAGCCAGGTCACGACTCACAAGCGCGAAGAATCGGGGGGGGTCACCAAGGCCTGAAATTGGAGTGTGATTACCCTCGTGAGTTGAATATTCAGTTTGTAAGCCAGAGATAGAGCCAGAGTAAGAGGAGAGTAGTTACATCCAATCTAGGGAAGGAGCGATCGGCGGATACTATTGTTCTTACCCGACATGGCAGCAAAAAGGCTGGTCCAAGGGGTCAGGAATGACTACGCCTTAGCTGTAACAATCCTTGCCCTTATATCATGGGCAACAAGGGTTGAAGTCCAAACCCAACATCCAAGATCCTAGGATATAAAATGGAGTACAAAATCAACTAACGATCCCCTAGCGTAGTATTTAGGAGGAACCTCCTCTAAGAGATAGCTTAAGCTTGAGGAAGGCCCTTGAAGAAAGTGCTTGAGACTCTGGTTGGGTAGGGCTTCCCTTAGGAGATCACACTAGAAGCCACTAGTGTAGGGAAGCTTGTGAGAAGAGCTCATGACTTAGAGAAAAATCCCATTTCAAGATTGATTTCTTGGAGTGGGAAGTTGAGAATGAGCTTCTCGGCTCAGACCCCTTCCAATGACTCCCAGCAGCTGCTCAACCTCCTCCATGGCTCCAAGGAGGTGAGCTAGCTTATGTGGCAAAAGGGTTGGATTTCCAACCAATGAGAGGTTTACAGCAATATATTCAGATTAGCATATAGTGTACAGTATAAGAATATTCGAGTTGAGTTGGCACCGCCAACCAACTCCCTGGTTCTGATTGGTCACAAATCCAACCATCGCGTGAGTTGGGAATTTCGCCAACTCAATTTGTACAACTAAAATCTGATTGGTCCCAAGTATCGACCAATCCCAATCCTCCCTCCCAACCCTTCCTTCCCATTTCGCGCTACCTAGCATAGGTAGCCGATTTGTGGAAAGCGGTGTTGGGCTGAGAAATGCCCTTAGGATCTTTCCAGAGACTAAGTCCCAGTTGTAAAAGACTTGAGTAGTGCAGCGGAAGTTGAGGTAGTTGAACCCTTGTACTAGTATATGAGAACAAGTGATTGATTAAAAGAACAAGCATACAGCAATATATAGAAAGTAGGAAAGTAAAGCAGTTGTAGAATACAGTTGAGAAAAGGGCGGTTATCGAGTCGCACAGCGACTCGATTGTCGCTTCGGTTACCATCTTTGCAGTTGTAACTGTCAGTCGCAACCTCCAGTTGCGACCCTTCGAGTCCTTTCGTGTTGTTTGTCCATCCCCTCGTGTAACCTCCGTTGACTCGCGTACCCGTTACGATCTTCCTCGAGTGTGGTGTTACACTTAAGAAACGCTTAAGTCCTTGAGGTATTTCCAACAAGCGGTTGGGAAGGTCGTTTCTAGGCCCGCGTACTGTGCAGAGGCCATGCGTTACACTAGCTCACGAAATGAGTTCTAGGCCTAGCCAGTGCAACTTCGTCACTGCCCCTCCGTGACTTTACAGCTCCCCTTGCACGCTGCCAGTAACTCGGAGAGCTCAAGAATTGAAGCAGGTGCGCCTCACCATGCACATGTCATGGTTCGAATCTGGCTGCTGCAAAGATTGATTGGTCAGTGGAACTGAGGGGAAGGGAAGGGGCCTGCAAAGATTGATTGGTCTTCAGCCAAAAAAACAAAACAAAACAAAACAAAACCCTCTGATATTTTGCATGTTTGCCGTGCGTCGCTGCTGTTGTCGATGGACAGACCACCGACACCTGTCCGTCCATTCTTTTGCACCTCCTTAGTATTGAAAAAATACCATATGCATTATTAGCTACTGAAATAGTTGGAATCTAACCATGTTATGTGCTTATCATACACATGATGATAGATTCACATCCATACAACAACAAAACTCAACGCTACTAATCTCACCCTGCCATGCACACTCACACACCCATAGTACAAACAGGGAGAGGGGAGGAGCCTGGGGAGGAAGGGGGATGGGGGGGGGGGGCTAGCAACGACCGTACTCCATGAAGAAAGAACCATTGTTGCCCTCGAAGCTGGCAGCATCCAGCAGGTCAGAAACCTTCAAATTTCAATATCTCCGACGGCTGCTTTAGAAGTTGGGCTGCTGGACTTAATGAACACAGCTGAAAGAGCGGTAAGTATACGGATAATAATTGCTGTCGAAAGGGGGGGAGGTGGAAAGGGGGGGGGGCATACACATGCCGATAAAGGTTATTTTTGAATGCATGCATGCACAGATGAAGGGATGAGTGCCAAAAAGGTGGGAAGATGAGATCTGGAGGGGTGTGGGTGGAGCACAGGGGGGACAGGGAGGGGGCAAGGAAGCGAGGAAGAGCTAGAGGGAGCAAGAAGCTGACGGTGAGAGACAACATGAATTGTTGCAAGGAAGGGTGTGCTGCGTGCATGTGTCATGTGTCATATGTGCGTGTGGTGCGTGTGGTGCGTGTGTCTTGAATACAAACATGGTGCTTAATGCCATCTCCTGACTCCCGTCGAGGCTGTGTCACATCACATCACATCCATTCACATCCACCCCCTGGCACTCACTCCGGTTCCACTCCAGAAAGGTGCGCACCTCTACATACTCCTTATAAGTTATCACACGCATTCGCAGACACACAGTTCCCCACCCCCCCAGCAGCTCTGACTCACACTGAACCCCCGGCACCAATCCCGGAAGTCGAGGCAGGGCGCGGAGTAGGCGTGCCAGCACACCCCGCCTGGCTGAATTGATTCACAGCCACGCAGTTCCCAGCCCCTCCTGGCACCCAGTCTATGTGCCAAAACGACCGGGCGTTTGCGCCAGTTGAGGCAGGGAGGTCCGTGCAGCCGTCGAAGGGCACGCGCAGGGTGTAGGTGTTGGGGGTTATGGTGTAGCTGGTCTGATCGTAGAAGGTGAAGCTGGTGGACGAAACGGTAGGCGTGGCTCCTGTTAATAGAACACCCGGGGTAAGGGGGGGAAAGGGGGGGAGTGGGGGGGGAGTGGGGGGAGAGGGGAATGGGCATAGGGAGGGTTGAGTATTGTGGCAACGCCACAGCAACCGGACGCTCGAGCCAACAGAGGCACGGAGGTCAGTGCAGCCGTCTCAGGGCACGCGTTGGGTGTAGGTGTTGGGGGTTATGGTGTAGCTGGTCTGATCGTGGAAGGTGACGCTGGTGGACGACACAGTGGGGGTGGCGTCTGGAAGGAGACATAGACGGGGGTTGAAAGGAGGGGGATGGGGGTGTAAAAGAGTTTGTGGGGATGGCTACTAGAAGCGGCAGATAACATGGGAATTAACAGAGGGGAAGGGGGGCTGGGCTGGCGGGGAAAACAATGATGGGGGTGCAAGCAGCATTGATTTTAGCTGGGAAGAAAGCGGCATGGATCTTACCACTGCTGCAGAAGCAGCCAGCGTTGGACATGCCACAGACGGCAAGACAGACGCAATAGGGAATGGCTTTTGAGTCGACTCAGAAGAGCAGCATTAGTCTTACCACTGACGCAACCAGCATTGGTCTTACCACTGACGCAATCAGCATTGGTCTTACCACTGATGCAACCAGCATTGGTCTTACCACTGATGCAACCAGCATTGGTCTTACCACTGATGCAACCAGCATTGGTCTTACCACTGACGCAACCAGCATTGGTCTTACCACTGATGCAACCAGCATTGGTCTTACCACTGATGCAACCAGCATTGGTCTTACCACTGATGCAACCAGCATTGGTCTTACCACTGATGCAACCAGCATTGGTCTTACCACTGATCACCGCATTGTCTTACCACTGATGCAACCAGCATTGGTCTTACCACTGATGCAACCAGCATTGGTCTTACCACTGATGCAACCAGCATTGGTCTTACCACTGATGCAACCAGCATTGGTCTTACCACTGATGCAACCAGCATTGGTCTTACCACTGATGCAACCAGCATTGGTCTTACCACTGATGCAACCAGCATTGGTCTTACCACTGATGCAACCAGCATTGGTCTTACCACTGATGCAACCAGCATTGGTCTTACCACTGATGCAACCAGCATTGGTCTTACCACTGATGCAACCAGCATTGGTCTTACCACTGATGCAACCAGCATTGGTCTTACCACTGATGCAACCAGCATTGGTCTTACCACTGATGCAACCAGCATTGGTCTTACCACTGATGCAACCAGCATTGGTCTTACCACTGATGCAACCAGCATTGGTCTTACCACTGATGCAACCAGCATTGGTCTTACCACTGATGCAACCAGCATTGGTCTTACCACTGATGCAACCAGCATTGGTCTTACCACTGACGCAACCAGCATTGGTCATGCCATAGCCGGCAGGACAGACGCAGTATGGAATGCTGCCGAAAGCAACAGCGCAAGTGGCTCCAGTGGGGCAGTTGCCACATGTGGCTGGGCCTGGGGGGATGAGAGGCGAGGCAGAAGGTAGAGGAAGAAGGTAGAGGCAGAAGGAAGGTAGAGGCAGAAGGTAGAGGCAGAAGGTAGAGGCAGAAGGAAGGTAGAGGCAGAAGGAAGGTAGAGGCAGAAAGTAGAGGCAGAAGGTTGAGGCAGAAGGTAGAGGCAGAAGGTTGAGGCAGAAAGAGACACTGCAAGTTTAGTCAAAGGAAGCAGAGGGCATGTGGGTCCAGGAACAGAATAGTGGTCAGGAACAGAATAGTGGTCAGGAACAGAGTAGTGGTCAGGAACAGAATAGTGGTCAGGAACAGAATAGTGGTCAGGAACAGAATAGTGGTCAGGAACAGAATAGTGGTCAGGAAAAGAATAGTGGTCAGGAACAGAATAGTGGTCAGGAACAGAATAGTGGTCAGGAACAGAATAGTGGTCAGGAACAGAATAGTGAATTACAGAGCAGCACAGGAGCAAGAGGTGTAATCAGGAATCATTGGTCATGGGCCTTAGCTTCAACGGGTACAAAGAGAGTGACTTTCAACGGTCAGAGAACTCAAGGGACCACAGGATGCATCGGCACCAGCAGAAAGGAAGGCAGAGTACAGAACTGGTCATATATAAGCCAATCAGATGCCAAGTATAAGCCGGATAAGTTGAGGTGACTAAAGCACGTACCGACACTAAAGCACGTACCGACACTACAGCACATACCGACACTACAGCACGTACCGACACTACAGCACGTACCGACACACGTGCCGGAAACGTTCTGATAGCCCGCCTTGCAAACACAGGACGCCACGCCTGCAGCGTTCTTGACGCAATCAGAAGTGGGGTCACAGCTCTTGGTGCCACAACTCTCTGAGGGGAGGGTTGCGAAGGGATGGGGAGGGTTGCGAACGGATGGGAAGGGTTGTGACAGGACCAAAAAGAGAACGACAAGAGTAAGAGGGGGGAAGAGAGGGGTGGAAGAGAAAAAATCGAGACAGAAAACGGGAGTGGAAGTGAGAAAGAGAGGGAGTGAGAAGGCTAAGCACACAGCAGGACACAGCAGCCCACATACCAATGCATGTCTTGCCGTCGGATTGCAGAATGAAACCAGCGTCACAAACGCAGGACGCCACGCCAGCAGTGTCAACCTTGCACGTGCCGTTGCCACCACATTTGATGGCTGCGCATTTGTCTGCGAGGGAGGGGAGGAGAAAGGGAGGAAAGGAGGGGAGGAGAGGAGGGGAGGAGAGGAGGGGAGGAGAGGAGGGAGGAGAGGAGGGAAGGAGTGGAGGGGAGGAGAGGAGGGGAGGAGAGGAGGGGAGGAGAGGAGGGGAGGAGAGGAGGGGAGGAGAGGAGGGGGAGGAGAGGAGGGGAGGAGAGGAGGGGAGGAGAGGAGGGGAGGAGAGGAGGGGAGGAGAGGAGGGGAGGAGAGGAGGGGAGGAGAGGAAGGAAGGAGAGGAGGGGAGGAGAGGAGGGGAGGATAGGAGGGGAGGAGAGGATGGAAGGAGAGGAGGGGAGGAGAGGAGAGGAGGGAAGGAGAGGAGGGGAGGGAGGAGAGGAGGGGAGGAGAGGAGGAAAGGAGAGGACGGAAGGAGAGGAGGGGAGGAGAGGAGGGGAGGAGAGGAGGGGAGAGAGGAGGGGAGGAGAGGAGGGAGGAGGAGGGGAGGAGAGGAGGGGAGGAGAGGAAGGGAGGAGAGGAGGGAGGAGAGGAGGGGAGGAGAGGAGGGGAGGAGAGGAGGGGAGGAGAGGAGGGGAGGATAGGAGGGGAGGAGAGGAGGGGAGGAGAGGAGGGGAGAGAGGGAGGAGAGGAGGAAGGAGAGGAGAGAGGAGAGGAGGGGAGGAGAGGAGGGGAGGAGAGGAACACGTTTTGAGGTGCCTCAAAAACAGCCGTGTCAGTTTTGCCACGTGCCGTGTCCTTCCGCCACGTTTGACGGCTGCACACTTGTCTGCGAGGGAGGGCAGGAGAGAAACGCGTAGAGGGAGTTCCCCAATGCAACCACCTAAGACAATGAGCACGTAGGATTCTCACGAAAATATAGCACATAGGATACCGAGGAGGATCATCAAGCACCAGGGATTCCAGGGATGATTGATGAGACTTCTGGTGAGAGATTTTTTAGAATTCTCAAAAATCTCTCACCAGGGAAAATTGAGCACCAAGGATTCTCAGGTGCCCTAGTTACTCACCAACACCAGCGCAGGTGAAGGAGCAGTAAGGATACCCAGCATAACCGCTGTTGGAAGGAGCGGAAATGAAACCAAGGATAGTCGAGCAACAAGGATTCTCCCAGGACAATCAAGCAACTAGGATTCCCAATTATCAAGAAGCACTCACCACTGGCAACGCAGGTGAAGGAGCGGTAAGGATATCCGGCATAGTTGCTGTTGAATGGGAACACAACACACAGACATGTGGGTCAAATATTTAGGTGCATGGATGCCGAGTCATGTGATGTGAGAAATAAACGGTCAGATGGGGGCTGGAGAAAATGACTTTCCATCCGACATTTCGAAAGTAGTGGGGGCGAGTGACAAATGAGTGGCAAGACAGTGGCTCGGGGACATGTCAAGTGGGGCCCGGCAGGCCCATGGTCAGGTGCACGCTGTGCACAGGGTAGAGGAGGGGGGTAGGGGAGGGAAGGAGGAGGGAGAAATTTCGCAGTTACCAAGCTGGGGGATAGGGGGGGGGGATGGGTTGAGTTGAATCCGCCACTCAAGGCTTGAGCATGAACCCGACCCGACTTTGCCCTACCCGATGTCGGGGTCGGGGTCGGGTCGGGTCGGGTCAAGTCGGGTCGGAGTTCAGGAAATGCCAACCCGACCCGGGTTTAATAGGTCGTCGGGTACTACCTAACCCGATTTCGGGTCGGGTCGGGTCGGGTTGACATAGGGGCAGGGACGGGTAATAAGCTGACCCGACGTGTCGGGTTCTGTCGGTCTGGTCGGGTCGGGTCGGGTCGGGTACCCGAGGGTCGGGTCGACCCTCCACAAATGTCGACCCGGCCCGTCAAAAAGTCGGGTTCGGGTCGGGTAACGTTGCTCATGATTGCGGCAATGCATGAGCCGCTCATGTCACTTCCCACCCAACGAGGCAGGCACCGAGCTGTTGGCGCCGCCACTGCACCCTACGTTTTGCTGTCGCTGTCGCGCCAACGTTTTACTTCGTGCCAGTGCACCCCGCCCCCCTGGTAACACGCGTAAACTAAACTGACTGACAAGCTCGAGTGCCACTCACAGGATGGCCGAGCCGCTCATGCTGCTTCCCGACGAGGCAACCACTGAGCTGTTGGCGCCAGTGCACCCCGCCTGGTAAAACGCGTTAGGTGACCGACAAGCATAACTAGCCACTCATGGGATACTGTAGCATATCCACACGAGGAGCGATCACAGATACTGCAGGTTGATTGAGTGGAGTCGAATCTGCCACTCACGGGATGGCTGAGCCGCTCATGCCGCCCCCCGACGAGACAGGCACGGAGCTGTTGGCGCCAGTGCACCCCGCCTGGTAGTACCCTCGGATCTCGCTGCAGTCGGCCACCCCACCCGGGGCGCGCACCACGCTCAAGTATGACTGGATGTCGGAGGCGCTTGATGCCGTGAGGTTGGTGCACGCGTTGGGGGTGAGGCGCATTGTGTAGGTGGCAGGGGTCAGGCCGAAGCTGGGGAGAGTGTAGAAGGTGTAGCTAGTTGAAGACACGGTGGGGGTGGCACCTGGACAAAGAGGAAAGGAGCACACAGGCGGATGAGAAGAGAGAACACGGGAGAGCACACGGTGAGTTGTGCGTCACAAGACACTTTTTCTTCAAAGGGGAAAGGGGCACACAGGGGGATGAGAAGAGGAGAGAAGAGAGATCATGGGAGAGCACACGGGTCAGTGTGTGTGCGCAGTCAGCCTCTCCTCCCGGGGCCGCTGCACGCTGCTGTAAGACTGGATGTCTGAAGCGCTTGAAGCGGTGAGGTTGGCGCACGCGTTGGGGGTCAGGCTAGTAGCATGGCTTTTGAGACGACTCAACAGCACTGCTCGCCGCTCGTCGTACATACCTTGCACGTAGCCAGCGCTGGTCATGCCATAGCGGGGAGCACAGATGCAGCACGCAGCACGCAGCACGCAGCGTGCAGCACACAGCATGCAGGGGATAAGCAGCTCTGGGGAAGCCTAGGACGCAGCTAGCATCGGTCATGCCATAGCGGGGACACAGGGCAGATGCAATCCGCCACCTTGGTGTACGAAAACAGGGTGCACGTGGCTCGTGCTTTTGAGTCGACTCAAAAGCAGCATTTGTCACACGTACCTTGAACGCAGCCAGTGCTGGTCATGCCGTAGCCAGAAGGACAGAGGCAATATGCCATCTTGGTGTACGGCCACGGGGTGCATGTGGCTCCTTCCGGGCACGTCCCACATGTTGCGGGTCCTGTGGAGAAGAGGAATTGGGGCGACGAGAGTGTGAGACAAGGGGAACTCTGTGTGAGATTGACAGTATGCGCACTGCTGAGATAGACCCACGCGCACGTGGCTCCTTCCGGGCACGTCCCACATCTTGCGGGTCCCGTGGAGAGGAGCAGGTGCGACACAGGGGAGGGCGAGGTGAGACGCAGGGGAGGGCGAGGTGAGAACACGGATGCGATGAGATAGAGGGGAGAAGATAGTGGGAGATAGAATGAGCATTGCTGAGAAAGCCAGAGTGCGCATGGCTCCTGCCGGGCGCGTCCCACACGAAGCTGGGCCTGTGGAGAGGAGGGGCAAGGGAGTGGCCAGACACAGGGGAGTGGTGAGACACAGGGGAGAGGTGAGGCACAGGGGAGAGGTGAGACATAGGGGAGGTGCGAACAGGGGAGGTGAGAACAGGAGAGGTGCGAACAGGGGAGATGAGAACAGGGGAGGTGAGAACAGGGGAGGTGAGAACAGGGGAGGTGCGAACAGGGAAGGTGCGAACAGTAAAGTGCAGCAGGCAAAGAAACAGGGAAACGAGAAGAATATTGAAGACTATTGAAGACTATTGAAGACTATTGAAGACTATTGAAGACTATTGAAGGCTATTGAAGACTATTGAAGGTTATGGTCCTATGGAAGAACACAGTGGCACATGCGAATACACGGGCGTGACTGCCTGCACACAAGGTTTGAGGCGCCTCAAACAGTGTGAGGAGAACTCTGCCTGAAGACCAGTGAAGCCAGCGGCACGTACCCACACACGAGGTGACCACACACGTACCCACGCACGTGCCAGACACCGTCTGGAAGTTGCACTCACAGGATGCCACTCCTGCAGCATGGACTGCTCTGCTTCAACCCTGCGATCCCTTATCTATGGCCTCCATAACCCCTGTAACAGGTCCGCTACTACTGGCACGTACCCACACATGTGCCGGACACCATCGTGTAGTTGCACACACAGGATGCCACTCCTGCTGCGTCAGTCACGCATTTGTGGTTGCCGTCGCAGCTTGCACACGTGTCTGCAGGGGGGGATAATAAAGGCATTGGCGAGGCGATTTCTTAATCGATTCTTTTGAGTTTGATTGACTCGGAGTTCACTTTTAAACATGTGTCGTTGGCTTCGCAGCTTGCACCCTTGTCTGCAGCGAGAAACAGGACGAGCTAGAGACTTCTGACTCCTGAGTCGACTCACACAGCAGCACATACCAACCAACGCATGCCCAACCCCAAGTGCAAGGTTGGAGAGTCAAGCCAACCGCCTATGCTTGACATACTTATTTTGATACGTCTCAAAACAAATCTTCTATCGCGTGGTTTTGAGTCGTCCGAAAAGAAAATTTTCTACCATGTGGCTAGGCAGACAGCATAACACACATGGCCAAGAACACAGCAGCACACAGCAGCACACAGCAGCACACAGCAGCACACAGCAGCACACAGCAGCACACAGCAGCACATAGCAGCACACAGCAGCACACAGCAGCCCACAGCAGCACACAGCAGCACACAGCAGCACACAGCAGCACACAGCAGCACACAGCAGCACACAGCAGCACACAGCAGCACACAGCAGCACACAGCAGCACACAGCAGCACACAGCAGCACCCAGCAGCACACAGCAGCACACAGTAGCACACAGCAGCACACAGCAGCACACAGCAGCACACAGTAGCACACAGCAGCACACAGCAGCACACAGCAGCACAACGCAGCACCTACCAATGCAATTCTTGCCGTCAGGCAGGAGGGACATGCCCGAGTCACAGAGACAGGACGCCACTCCAGCTGTGTCAATCGTGCACGTGCTGTTGGCGCCACAGGCCTTGAGTGCACAGGGATCTGGGAGGGGAGGGGAGGGCGGGAGGGAAGCGAGGGAGCGTGCTGACTATTGAGTCGGCTCGGGTCAGCAGAAGTCATTAGACCACCACTCCAGCCGTGTCAGCCTTGCACGCGCTGTTGGCTCCACATGCCTTGAGCGCACAGGGTTCTGAGGGGGGGAGGGGCGAATGTTTTTGAGTCGACTCAAAAGCAGATCCACATGCCTTGAGCGCACAGGGTTCTGAGGGGGGGAGGGGCGAATGTTTTTTAGTCGACTCAAAAGCAGATCCACATGCCTTTAGCGCATAGGGTTCTGAGGAGGGAAGGGGCAAATGCGGGGAGGGTGGGAGGGAGGCGAGGGAGCGTGCTGACTGATGAAGCCGCTCAGAAACCATTGGATCGCGACCTCTGCCGTGTGAGCCTTGCACTGCACGTGCTGTTGGGGCCACCGGCCTTGAGCACACAAGGTTCTGTGGGGGGGAGGGGCGAACGAGGGGAGGGGAGCACGAGGAGAGGAGAGGAGACGGGAAGGAGAGGAGGGGATGAGAGGAGGAGAGGAGGAAGGGAGGAGAGGAGGGGAGGAGAGGGGGAGAGGAGAGAGGAGAGGAGGAGAGGAGGAGGGGAGGAGGGGAGGTCGGGAGGTGGGGAGGAGGAAAGGAGAGGAGGAGGGGAGGAGGGGAGGAGGAGAGGAGAGGAGGAGGAGAGGAGAGGAGGAGGAGAGGAGAGGAGGAGAGGAGAAGAGGAGGAGAGGAGAGGAGGAGGAGAGGAGAGGAGGAGGGGAGGAGGGGAAGGGAGGAAGTGTGTGGAGGGAGATGAGAGAAGCGTGGAGCCCTAAGGGAGCCCTAAGGGAGCCGTAAGGGAGCCCTAAGGGAGCCCTAAAAGAGCCCTAATGGAGCCGTAAGGGAGCCGTAAGGGAGCCCTAAGGGAGCCCTATGGGAGCCCTAAGGCAGCCCTAAGGGAGCTCTGAGGGAGCCCTGAGGGAGCCCTGAGGGAGACCTGAGGGAGCCCTGAGGGAGCCCTGAGGGAGCCCTAAGGCAGCCCTAAGGGAGCCCTAAGGGAGCTCTGAGGGAGCCCTGAGGGAGCCCTGAGGGAGACCTGAGGGAGCCCTGAGGGAGCCCTGAGGGAGCCCTAAGGGAGCCCTGAGGGAGCCCTAAGGCAGCCGTAAGGGAGCCCTGAGGGAGCTCTGAGGGAGCCCTGAGGGAGCCCTGAGGGAGACCTGAGGGAGCCCTGAGGGAGCCCTGAGGGAGCCCTAAGGGAGCCCTGAGGGAGCCCTAAGGGAGCCCTAAGGGAGCCCTGAGGGAGCTCTGAGGGAGCCCTGAGGGAGCCCTGAGGGAGCCCTGAGGGAGCCCTAAGGGAGCCCTAAGGGAGCCCTAAGGGAGCCCTATGCCCTCATGCACTCTGGTCCATAAATGTCTCGAGGATTTAGTTTATCATGAAAAAAAGCTGCTAAGGCTTGAGCATAGGCAGGTTGGGAGAACTTAAATGTTGGGAGAGTTGGAAGGTTGGGAGAGTAGGAAGGTTGGAAGAATAAGAAGATTGAGACTGACGACGAGGCAACACTCACCAACGCCAATACAGCTGAAGGAGCGGTATGGATACCCAGGAGAGTTGCTGTTGCATGGGAAAACAAACACACAGGAAGGAAGGATATGAAGCATTTGAGAGAGGAAACAAGCGCACAGCTGAACGAGCGGAAATGATATGGATGCAGGGAGGGCAAGAAAACGCGGTAACCGGTTACCCCGTATTGATATGGATGCAGGGGGGACAAGAAAACGCGGGGCATCGGGGAGAAGACACCCAGGGAGGGAGGATGCAGGGATGCGAAGCAAACAAATGAGAAAGCTAAAAGAGGGGAAATTCTGCCCACAAGCAAGGAATTCCAGAAGCAAGAGAGGGGGAGAGGACTTCAAAGTGGGCTACATCATATCTTTTGAGTCGACTCAAAGTGGGCATCATCTCGCAACACGGAATTCCGGCAACCCCAATCTCCTGTCGAGATCCCAATCACCAGCGGATTCTGAAAGGAGCGCATGCCACGCGCATGCCACTCATGCGCGTGTGTGCATCATGTGCTGGTTCGCGCATGTGCTCGCATGTGCGTGCATCCTGCGTGTGTGTGTGTGCATCATGTGCTGGTGCGCATATCATAGTGACTGTGGTACATGAAGGCAAGGTTCAAGCTCGCAGCCAGGGTCGCAGCCAGGGTCGCGGCGTAATGATGCCACAACGATGAGGCTTCACCGCACTGAAACACCTTTGAACTTCTCTCACCGAATTAAATCGCATCGAAACCTGTGAGCATCGGTCGCCACCGTGGCTCGTGACCCTGGAAAGTGGTCTCCTGTACCGCCCCCTTAGGTGACAGCCAGTGCAAGAGGCTGGGATCCGTGACTCACATTGACCCCACTGCAACGAAGCCGGTGCTGTTTGAGACCGGAGCAAGGGAGTTACTCGTTCCCGCACAGCCCGCCTGAGTGAAGCCGTAGACGGACACGCAGTTGCCCGCCCCTCCCGCTCCCGGCACGCGGTCAGCACGCCAGAACGACTTGATGTTTGTGAAGACGGATGTGGGGAGGTCCGTGCAGTTGTTGAAGTTGAGGCGCATGGTGTAGGTTTTGCTCGTCACCGTGAAGTTGGTCTTATCGTAGAAGGTGAAGGTGGTGGTCGACACGTTGGGGATGGCGCCTGGAAGGGAGAAGGGAGCATGGTATGGCATGCGGACAAGGATGGGGATGGGGATGGGGATGGGAATGGGGGAGTGGAAGGTGAAGCTGATGCTTGAGACGTTGGGGCTGGCGCCTGGAATGGGAGGACAACGTAAGGGGGTGAATGAAGGGAGGGATTGGGGTGGGAAGGGAGAGAGGCGATGCAGGGCCAACAGAGAGCATGCGTAGAGCATAGCTGGAGCACATAAAGAGCATAGCTTGAATGCAAGCAGCAGTGGTCTTACCGCTGATGCAGCCAGCGGTGGTGAGGCCATATCCAGAAGGACAGGAGCAGTAGGGAACGTTGCCGGACACAGCAGCGCATATGGCTCCAGTGGGGCAGTTCCCACACGTGGCGGGGCCTGGGGAGATGAGAGAGAGGGGAGAAGGTAGTGTGACACAGTGCAACAAGATGCTCTCAGCACAGCACAGCACCGCATAGCACAGCACTGCATAGCACAGCACTGCATAGCACAGCACTGCATTGCATAGCAAATAATAAGAGAAGCACACCCTAACCCAGTATGTTGCACACCAGCACCAAGCAGCACCAAGCAGCACAGAGCAGCACAGAGCAGCACAGAACAGCACCGAACAGCACGTACCAACACATGAGCCAGATATGTTCTGGTAGCCCGTCTTGCACACACAGGATGCCGCGCCTGCAGCGCCCTTGATGCAATCGGTGAGCAAGGCGTTGCACCCCTTGATGGCGCAGGTGTCTGAAGGGGGGTGGGGGAGGGATGGTGAGCATTGAACAAACGAGTACGGGGATCATGACCAAGAGAGTAAGGCGCGACTGCAGCATCCTTGAGGCAATCAGTGAGCATGGCGTTGCAGCCCTTGGTGCCACAGGTGTCTGAAGGGGGGTGGGGGAGGGATGGTGAGCATGGCGTTGCAGCCCTTGGTGGCGCAGGTGTCTGAAGGGGGGGAGGAAGGAACGGGGAACATTGACTAAGAATGTAAGGCGCCAGCATAACGCGCACTAGGTTCAAGATCTAGCAGCACATGCAAGGCTAATAGCAGCACATGCAAGGCTAATAGCAGCACAAGCAATGCTAGGCACCCAGCAGCACCTACCAGAGCACGTCCTGCCATTAGTCTGCAGCACGAAGCCAGTGTCACAAACGCAGGATGCCACTCCAGCAGAATCCATCTTGCACGTGCCGTTTCCACCACAGTTCTTGAGCGCGCATGTGTCTGCGAAGGGAGAAGCAAAGGGAACAGTGAACCCACCCACGTGAGAAGTGAGACTCTGCCATGAGGTACACCAGCGCAAGGTGTCAGCATAGACCACTCTAAGGTCAGCACATGGCAGAACATAATGGTACACACCGGTGCATACCGGTACACAACGGTACACGACCTGCCATCAGATTGTGTTTGAGCTGCACTAGGTTCGGCACACAGCAGCACAAACCACGCATGCCGCGCACAGCAGCACAGCAGCACAGCAGCAGTAGCACAGCAGCACAGTAGCACAGCAGCGCATACCAGAACATGTCTTGCCGTCGGACTGTAGCACAAAGCCCGCGTCACAAACACAGGATGCCACTCCAGCCGTGTCAATCCTGCACGTGCCGTTCCCACCACACGCCTTGAGCGCACATGTGTCTGGGAGGAGAGGGAGGCGAATGGAATGGAGCAGTGCACGGGAATGGCATAGCTTACAACACCACAAGCACCAGCGTAGCCCGCACTAGATTCAGGATGTAGCAGCACCCACGAGGCTAATAGTAGCCCACACGAGGCTAATAGCAGCACAAACAAGGCTAATATCAGCACAAACAAGGCTAATATCAGCACAAACAAGGCTAATAGTAGCACACACGAGGCTAATATCAGCACAAACAAGGCTAATATCAGCACAAACAAGGCTAATAGCAGCACAAACAAGGCTAATATCAACACAAACAAGGCTAATATCAGCACAAACAAGGCTAATAGCAGCACACACGAGGCTAATAGCAGCCCACACGAGGCTAATAGCAGCACAAACAAGGCTAACATCAGCACGAACAAGGCTAATATCAGCACAAACAAGGCTAATAGCAGCACACACGAGGCTAATAGCAGCCCACACGAGGCTAATAGCAGCCCACACGAGGCTAATAGCAGCACAAACAAGGCTAACATCAGCACAAACAAGGCTAATATCAGCACAAACAAGGCTAATAGCAGCACAAACAAGGCCAATATCAGCACAAACAAGGCTAATATCAGCACAAACAAGGCTAATATCAGCACAAACAAGGCGAATAGCAGCACAAACAAGGCTAATATCAGCACACACGAGGCTAATAGCAGCCCACACGAGGCTAATAGCAGCACAAACAAGGCTAATATCAGCACAAACAAGGCTAATATCAGCACAAACAAGGCTAATATCAGCACAAACAAGGCTAATAGCAGCACACACGAGGCTAATAGCACGAGGCTAATAGCAGCCCACACGAGGCTAATAGCAGCCCACACGAGGCTAATAGCAGCCCACACGAGGCTAATAGCAGCCCACACGAGGCTAATAGCAGCCCACACGAGGCTAATAGCAGCCCACACGAGGCTAATAGCAGCACAAACAAGGCTAATAGCAGCCCACACGAGGCTAATATTAGCACAAACAAGGCTAATAGCTGCACATACAAGGCTAAAGAGCACACCAGCACATGCAAGGTTAGGCACCCAGCAGCACCTACCAGAGCACGTCTTGCCATCAGTCTGCAGCACGAAGTCCGCGTCACAAACACAGGACGCCACTCCAGCAGTGTCAACCTTGCACGTGCCGTTCCCACCACAGGCCTTAAGCGTGCATGTGTCTGCGAGGGGAGGAGGAAAAGAAACAGCACATGTGAAGGGTATTCCTTACATGTAGAGGAATGGTGAATTTGCCTCCAAACGTGCAGGGGCACATGTGATCAGCACACGCCATCAGCACATGTCATAATCAGCACAGCATGTGCTGGTTTCAACACACAGCGGCACATACTACGATAAGCACGCTGCACAAACAAGCCTACACACACAGCAGGGCACACGAGGCAAAGAGCACAGCAGTCCACACTGCCTTCAGCGCTTACCAGTGCACGTCCAGCCGTCAGACTGCATAAGGTGACTTTTGAGTCGACTAAAAAGTCCCCTCGTTCAACGCACAGCAGTACACACTGTTTTCAGCACATACCAGTGCATGTCATGCCGTCAGATTGCAGAACGAAGCCAGCGTCGCAAACACAGGATGCCGCTCCAGTAGCGCTCTTGCTGCACATGCCGTTCCCACCACACGCCTTGAGCTCGCATGTGTCTGGGGGAGGGAATGGGGTGGGTGGGTGAGGGGGGGAGGGAATGGGGTGGGTGGGTGAGGGGGGGAGGCGAGGGAAGAGGGAAAAGGGGGACAAAGATGGGAAGGGGATTTCGGAAGTGTGACTTCGCTTACTTACATCTGCAGCAGCAGATGGCATCGACACATGACCTTTGCACAGCACACATGGGATAGTAATTTCAGTTTGAGCCGACTCGAAATTACATCAAGACATGACCTTTGCAGTGCACAGCACGCAACAGTTTCCGTGCGTATAAGGCTAAGAATGCAGCAGCACATACATACCGGTGCACGTCCTGCCATCAGTCTGGAGCTTAAAGCCAATTTCACAAACGCAGGATGCTGCTCCTGCAGTGTTTTTGTTGCACGTGCTGTTCCCACCACAGGCCTTGAGCTCGCAGGTGTCTGGGAGAGGGAGAGAGGGGAGGGACAAAAAGGACCGTGGAATTATGGATGACAAGGAAGTTTCTTACACAACAACTGTGGCTATGCTTCCATTAGCAGCAACACATGACATCAGCACATGACATCAGCACATGACATCAGAACATGACTTCAGCACGTGACATCAGCACATGACATCAGCACATGACATCATCAGAACATGACATCAGCACATGACATCAGCACATGACATCAGAACATGACGTCAGAACATGACATCAGCACGTGACATCAGAACATGACATCAGCACATGACATCAGAACATGACTTCAGCACGTGACATCAGCACATGACATCAGAACATGACATCAGCACATGACATCAGCACCTGACAGACATCAGAACATGACATCAGAACATGACATCAGCGCGTGACATCAGAACATGACATCAGCAAATGACATCAGCACATGACATCAGCACATGACATCAGAACATGACATCAGAACATGACTTCAGCACGTGACATCAGAACATGACATCAGCACATGACATCAGCACATGACATCAGCACATGACATCAGAACATGACTTCAGAACATGACTTCAGCACGTGACATCAGCACATGACATCAGCACATGACATCAGCACATGACATCAGCACATGACATCAGCACATGACATCAGAACATGACATCAGAACATGACATCAGCACGTGACATCAGAACATGACATCAGAACATGACATCAGCACATGACATCAGCACATGACATCAGAACATGAATTTAGCACGTGACATTCGCACATGACATCAGCACATGATATCAGAACATGACATCAGAACATGACATCAGAACATGACATCAGAACATGACAGCAGAACATGACATCAGCACATGACATCAGAACATGACATCAGCACGTGACATCAGCACATGACATGACATCAGTAGTACAGCACATAGTTGTCTCAGCGCATACAAGGTCAAACACCCAGCAGCACATACCAGTGCACGTCCTGCCATCTGCCTGCAGCTTAAAGCCAATGTCACAAACGCAGGATGCCGACCCGGTAGTGCTGCTCTTGACGCACGTGCCGTTCCCACTACAGGCCTTGAGCTCGCATGTGTCTGCGAGGGGGGGAGTGGACGGAAAAGTGAGGGAGTGTGGTGCTGTGGCGGGCAATATTTACATCCAGAAAGAAGCGAGGAGGAGCTGGGAGTTACCACGCAGTGACTGTGCCTGCAAGGGGAGGGGGAAAAAACCCTAACTGTACCGGATTTGTCAGGGTTTTATATAATCACCGTGACCAGCACGTCTTGTTAGAAGAGCCACTTGTTATCAACCGCAGCAACACATGCCATCAGCACGCCCAATTCTCAGAACACAGGGGCACACACATGCACAGCGGAGCCCAGTAGCAGCACACACCATACATACACACCATATGTATTCCGCGTCGATTCAAAAGGTACCTGAACACAGGGGGAGCACATACGCGGCCAAACCCAGTAGCAGAACACACACACCACATTCAGTCTACTACACGATGTTTTCATCACATACCAGTGCATGTCCTCTTGTCAGCTTGCAGCTTAAAGCCAATGTCACAAACACAGGACGCCGCCCCAGTGGTGCTGTTTTTGACACACGTGCCGTTCCCACCACAGGCCTTGAGCTCGCATGTGTCTGCGAGGGGGGGAGACGGGTAAAAGGAGCAGTTACAATGGTGGGCGGAATTTATAACAAGGGAGATATGCCACATTTATCTGAAGGTGAGCAGCCGTGCGAGAAGGGAGATACGGCGCTGTTATTTGGAGTGCAAGGGTTAAAAGAACCCCGGATAGGGAAGGGTGTATCTTGTACGCCAGTGGGAGCAGCACCTACCAGTGCATGTCCTGCCGTCGACCTGCAGCTTAAAGCCAATGTCACAAACACATGATGGCCATCCATTCGTGCTGTTCTTGATGCACGTGCCGTGGTTGCCACAGTTCTTGAGCTCGCATCGGTCTGCGAGGGGAGGAACGGAAGGAACAGCAAGGGTGTTTAGCGGGCAATATCAATCCTTATGCACGAGCTGTGGTCGCCACACTTTCTGAGCTCGCATTTGTCTGCGAGGCCGAAGCGAAAGGGATGGATGTAAGGCCACACTTGACCTGGGAAAACCAGTGCGATCTTGCCATGGGAAAAGGGGACCGATGTACGGCCGGTCTTGCCACGGAAATTAGAGAGCGGTCTTGTCGTCAAGCACAGCAGTAGCACATGCCATGCCACCGGCATAGTGCACACAGCAGCACGCAGCAGCACATACCAGTGCACGTCCTGCCATCAGTCTGCAGTTTAAAGCCAATGTCACAAACACAGGATGCCGCTCCAGTAGTGCTGCTCTTGGTGCACGAGCTGTTCCCCCCACAGGCCTTGAGCTCGCATGTGTCTGCGAGGGGAGGAGTGGAGGGAAGAGTGAGAGAGTAAGACACGCAATATCTACCAGAAAAGAAGCCAGAAAACTCGGGAGTTTAAAGCGTGCCTTGGAGGGGAGGGGAAAGGAGCCGTAAATGTGACGGGCACTGCTTACAGGACACGATGTGTGAGGTGCACTACTAACAGGACAAGATGTGTGAGGGGCACTTCATAAGAAGTGTGACTTTGCCGTCAATTGCAGCGGCACATGCCACCAGCACGTGCCGCCAGCACACGCCGCCAGCACATGCCACCAGCACATGCCACCAGCACATGCCGCCAGCACATGCCACCAGCATGTGCCGCCAGCACATGCCGCCAGCACATGCCACCAGTATGTGCCGCCAGCACATGCCGCCAGCACATGCCACCAGCACATGCCGCCAGCACATGGCACCAGCAAAGCACGCACAGGCCTTTGAACACAGTGGCACGTACAAGGCAGCAGCAGCATTCAGTGTTTTCAGCACACACCAGTGCAGGTTTTCTTGTCAGCCTGCAGCTTAAAACCAATGTCACAAACACAGGACGCCACTCCAGTAGTGCTGTTCTTCACGCACGTGCCGTTCCCACCACAGGCCTTGAGCTCGCATGTGTCTGCGAGGGGAGGAGCGGAAGGAGCAGTGAGTGAGTGAGTGAGTGAGTAAGCGAGCGTGACGGGCATTATCTACCAGGTAGAAGCAGGGAGTCATCACGCCCAGACAGGCTATGCATATAGCAACAACCGCAAGGCTAGACACACAACAGCACATGCAAGACGAGGCACCCAGCAGCGCATACCAGTGCACGTCCTGCCATCTGCCTGCAGCTTCAAGCCAATGCCACAAACACAGGAGGCCGCTCCAGTAGTGCTGTTCTTGACGCACGTGCCGTTCCCACCACAGGCCTTGAGCTCGCATGTGTCTGCGAGGGGAGGAGCGTGCAGAGGGAGATGAGATCGAAACAGAAAAGCCATGCCATGCCAGCCACCTGATGGCCAACGTGACCTCGTATATCGCACCAACGCAGCAGCAACACTATCACGAAAGCGAAATGGTGACACTCACCCACCCAGAAGCAACACGGCTTCTTTTGAGTCAACTCAAGAGTGACCTCCTATATCTCGCCAACGGAACAACACCATCACGAAAGCACAGCGGTGACACTCACCTAACCAGCGGTACTCACTCACCGACCCAGCGGTACTCACTCACCGACCCAGCGGTACTCACTCAACGACCCAGCGGTACTCACTCACCGACCCAGCGGTATTCACTCACCGACCCAGCGGTACTCACTCACCGACCCAGCGGTACTCACTCACCGACCCAGCGGTACTCACTCACCGACCCAGCGGTACTCACTCACCGACCCAGCGGTACTCACTCACCGACCCAGCGGTACTCACTCACCGACCCAGCGGTACTCACTCACCGACCCAGCGGTACTCACTCACCGACCCAGCGGTACTCACTCACCGACCCAGCGGTACTCACTCACCGACCCAGCGGTACTCACTCACCGACCCAGCGGTACTCACTCACCGACCCAGCGGTACTCACTCACCGACCCAGCGGTACTCACTCACCGACCCGACCCAGCGGTACTCACTCACCGACCTAGCGGTACTCACTCACCGACCCGGCGGTACTCACTCACCGACCCAGCAGTACTCACTCACCGACCCGGCGGTACTCACTCACCGACCCAGCGGTACTCACTCACCGACCCAGCGGTACTCACTCACCGACCCGGCGGTACTCACTCACCGACCCCGCGGTACTCACTCACCGACCCAGTGGTACTCACTCACCAACCCGGCGGTACTCACTCACCGACCCAGCGGTACTCACTCACCGACCCAGCGGTACTCACTCACCGACCCAGCGGTACTCACTCACCGACCCAGCGGTACTCACTCACCGACCCAGCAGCAATCACTCACCAACACAGCCAGCGGGGGTCATAACAAACCCAACGTTGCAGGCGCATGTAGCATCGCCCCTCTCCTTCACGCAGTACGCATTGGCCCCGCAATCCCTGATCTCGCACGAGTCTGCCAAAGACATTTAGCAAGGGGAAGAGGGAAAGAGATTTCTTTTGAGTCGGCTCGGCTCAAGAGTAAGCACTGGCGCCGCAGTTGCTGACCTCTCACGAGTTCCACGAGTCTGCGAGTTATATTTAGCGAGAGGGCGACAGTGGGAAGGAGACTGCTTCTGAGTCGGCTCAAAAGCATGCATTGGCGGCGCCACAGCCCTTGATCGCGCATGAGTCTGTCGGGTGTATCGTGAGAGAGGGAGAGGGAAGGAGAATACGTTCAAATCGGCTCGACTCCAAAACGTGCACATTGGCCCCGCAGTCCCTGATCTCGCACGAGTCTGCTGGCCAATTTGGCAAGAGAGGGGAGCAACGCAAAGGCGGTGGCACCGCCTTAACGAAACCGCGTGAGGAACAGACAGGAGGAGATGGGGTTTGTACGGCCCACTGGGAGACTGCACAGCACAGGAGATTCTATTCAAGATGCGCCTAAAAACGGACAGGAGGAGACGATGGGGTATGGACCTCCTGTCGGCTCCACACAGTCCCTCCCAGGGGTATGGACCACTGCGAAAGAGAATGCAGAGACGGCGGCGGCGGCGAACAGAAGGGATGGTGGGTGGGAGAGGATGGCTCGGCACGAGGTGACTTTTGAGTCGACTCAAAAGTCACAGAAGGGGTGGTGGGTGGGAGAGGTCGGCTCGGCACGATCATGGCCTTTGCGGGTTTGACAGCTCGGCTCGACTGGAATGTGGAAGGAGCAGCCCTGCCAGGAAGTGACACGGCAGCGACTCATTTCCACAAAGCCCCGGGCGACTAGTGCTGGTGATCAGGCCAGGGGACTGATGCTGGCGGGGCTAGGCGACTGCTGGTGGGGCTAGGCGACTGCTGGCGGGGCTAGGCGACTGCTGGCGGGGCTAGGCGACTGCTGGCGGGGCTAGGCGACTGCTGGGGGGGCTAGGCGACTGCTGGCGGGGCTAGGCGACTGCTGGCGGGGCTAGGCGACTGCTGGCGGGGCTAGGCGACTGCTGGCGGGGCTAGGCGACTGCTGGCGGGGCTAGGCGACTGTTGGTGGGGCTAGGCGACTGCTGGCGGGGCTAGGCGACTGCTGGTGGGGCTACGCGACTGCTGGTGGGGCTAGGAGACTGCTGGCGGGGCTAGGCGACTGCTGGTGGGGCTAGGCGACTGCTGGTGGGGCTAGGCGACTGCTAGTGGGGCTAGGCGACTGCTGGTGGGGCTAGGCGACTGGATGCTAGGCGCATCTTGTGAACTGACGTGCGTGCCAAATTTAGCAATGACTGCTCGCGGAGCGCAGCGCAGCACGGGATGGAAGGCCGCACTCGAGGCAATATTCCCCGGCCCTAACCTATGAGTGCTACTAGCTTAAGAGCGCGGGCCGCGTTACTGGAACTAGTAGCCTGCTTGTGAACGCTAACTTACGGTCGGCGGCGTTTATGGAAGCTGTCAGGCGATCGGCAGCAGCCCTGGGCGCACAGGCTGGGAGCGGGGGGAAAGACGGGGGGGGGGGGGGGGGGAGAGAGGGGGAGAGAGGGGGACAAGGAGAGGAAAAAGGTTGGTATCTCAATTCCCTACAACTTGTCTGCTAACTCACGGTTGGCGGCGTTAATGGAAGCTGTCAGGCGATCGGCAGCAGCCTAGGGCGCACAGGCTGTGAGAAGAGGGGAGGGAGAGGGGGACGAGGGGGAGAGCGGGAGAGGAGGGGTGAAGAGTGGGGGGGGGGGGGGGGAGTGTTTGGAGGGGTGGCAGAAGAATGGAGGAAGCTTGGGGCCAAAGGCTTTGAGTCGACTCGAAAGAGATCGGCAGGAGCCCTGAGCGCACAGTTTGTGAGGAGGTGGGTGGGAGAGGAGGGGGGGAAAACGGGGAGGAACAAAACCGGTTACGCAAGGAAGAGAAGGTCGCTGCGAGAAAGGCGAACGGCAGGCAGCAGCCATGGCCGCACGGGCTGGAAGGAGGAAGACGAGAGAAAAGGGAGAGGTCCTAGGGGGGAGGGGGGATGGAGAGACACCAGACAGGAGAAAGGGGATGGATCCCCCGGGGGAAGGGGGGGAATGGAAGGTGTGCTCCTGAATGGAAGAGCACAGCACTCTAACGAGGGGGGAATGGAAGGTGTGCTCCCAGGCAGACAGGTGTGCTCACTACTGAACTGCGGCCCAGGTGTGGCACACCTGAGATCACACGTGAGAGCCTGGGGCTCGCGTGAGAGCCCAACTGAGAGCACACCTGAGAGTACACCTGAGAGCACACCTGAGAGTACACCTGAGCGTACCTGAGAGCATGAGTGCAGCCAGTGCAGCGAGCACGAGGCCAGAGCGTCGCATTATAGCCACGTCGTGCGAACGAGCCATGGCTTCAAGCCAGCAATACGCTAATACTACACAGTGACGTCAGCAAAGAAGCTGGGTCAAAAGTGGTAGGCTGCGGCAGCAGCAGCAGCAGCAGCAGATCTCCAGCTATGTCACAGCAAGCGGGAATAGCGTCAGCCTGAAAGGATATCGGCGGCCAGTTTTAGGAGATAGTAGTATGGACAGGGCGATAGTAGCCTAGGAGAAAGATAGTGCGGCACGGATAATACACGGATAGCGTTGTAAGACGATAGTACACGGATTGTACAGATAATTTTTTCGCCGGGAAAAAGTAGTACTCTCCCTTTTGTTTCGGTAGACGATAGCACAAGCAGGGATGGCGAACTCAGTGCGGCCGCTGAGTCTGTGAAGTGAACTGATTCAGTGATCTGCTGGTAGGCTGAAAGTACAAGGATGTGCTATAGAGCAATGTGCTACACTCCTGTACTGTACAACTAGCTGTGCGCACTGCGCGAACAAGTGGGTCTCGTTCCATTATCCACTCGCGATGCAAGGGATGGAGGAGAATGATGGTGAACTGAAAGCCGCTTCTCAGCGGCTAACAGAAACCCTGTTTTTCGTGGAAAAAAAGAGGGTGTCATGTGAATGTGACGGACATCTGACGTGGCTCGGAAACCCTCGGCCTCTGTACTTCGTGTTGCGGCGCCAACATCATCAGGATTCAGGAGTTATGGCACAGAACTGTACAGGTAGAAACTGTACAGGTATCAGCTGGCGGTGCCGGGAAAACCTGCGCCTGAACTGGTTCTGATATTTCACAGTACAGTGCAGGTGTTGGACATGACAGCCCCCCAGCACAGGTGGTGGCCATCTTTACCGTCTTCCGGTCTAGTGTACCAGCCAGCCAGCCGCTGGCCATTGTGTTCTGTCGTCTCATTGGAGGAAATCGCGCGCTTTGACAAAAATTAATAATGTTTTTCAAACGTTCGACCCTTTTTGCGTGCGATGTATGGCATGCCCCCGTTACCCAAAACGGTCAACCCCCCCAACTGTACCCGCTTTCGTTTTGATGTGCCAAATATTGGAAATGTAATTTCCGGTCGCTGTGAAAACATTTGTCGGATACCAATTCAATTCTTGTTCGAAAATGCATTTAAAGCGAGGATATCAAGAAGCAAAAAACCAAACCCGAAAGTTTTGGTCTCGGGGGGTCGCACATTTGCAAGGTGTGTTGGGGGGCCACTGTTACTGCTTCGCCCATTTCGCCAACATGAAACCAACCCTTTTGGACTTGGTTTTGTGCTTCTTGAGATCCTCGTTTTAATGGGTCTAGAAAAAAATCTGCCCGTGCCTGCTTGTCCCCTGCACCTGGCGTGAACGCACGTGTTGGAGTCATCTGACTCTCTCAAATGTCTGGCTTACGTTTGGTTTTTGGGGCACCCGTCAGATCCAGGTATCTGGCCAAAGCTACCCGTCAGAATCCGTGTTCAGCACTCTGTACTATCAAAATTCACCCAGCCAGTTCTGCCAAAATTCACCCATCATAATTCGGGTTCAAACGCTGTTTTTAGAAAAGTTCCCCGTCGGAATCCGAGCTCAACGAAAATTGCACCTGCTATTTTGTCAGAATTTGGAGGAAAAATATATCGGTGCTCAGTATTAGGGGCATCGATAACATGTACAGTCAGTGACATGATATAAACAATCAGAATTCGTGAGTTCGCAACATGTTTCATCAGTCAGGTTCCACCGTTAGTTACAAACTACAGGAAAAAAGTTCCACGAAAAGTCAGTAGAAGTAACCCTCGCCCGTTTTGGAACGTTTTCCTGCCCTCCCCAGCCCAATTTTGTCATCATTGTGGCTGACGTGATATTTTTTTCAAGCTCCAGGCGCAGTTCAAGAGAACTACGTAAATTATTCCCAAATTAAAAATCGTTGGACTTCGCGCACACAAAAATCCAAAATTGAGACCTCACGCATTTCTGTCACATAAGCTAATTGGGCCGCAAAATTTAAATAGTAGTGTGCGTGCGCTAATTTGTTTCGAGCATGACAAGATCTGTGCATTCATAATTTGGCGGATTTTTTTTTCCGGTAAATAGATTTGTTGAAAAAATCAAACGATAACCAGCATAAATCTAATAGATTCCTTGTATTGAAATTAATACACAATTAAATGCAGTTCCGAAATACCTTTAAATTGTTTTCAAATAAATTCATTTCCCAAAAATAAACCTTCGTAGCTATCTATATATGTTTTTGTTTTCGGGCGACTCGGGAATGACAACAAGTTTACGGCTTGAATTTGTTTTGGGGCCATAAATGCGGTAGAGACAAAGCTGCCATTTTTTATCATCGCGAAACGCGCTACACTCTGTAACAAAAATATGTGCTTTGAAACAAAATCGTGTTTTGGTGTTTCTCGAGTAACAAATGTCCAACGATTTTTAATTTGGGACCATTGTTTGTTTTCGCCCGAACTGCGCTTGGACCTCAGAAAAAAATATCGTGCCACCCACAATGGTGACGAAATCGGGCTGGCGCAGGCGGGAAAACGTTTCGAAACGGGCGAGGGTTACTTCTACTGACCATTCGTGGAACTTTTTTCTTGTAATTTGTGACTAATGGTGGAACCCGACTGATAAAACATATTGCGAACTCGCTAATTCTGATTTTTTATATCATGTCACTGACCGTATATGTTATCGAGACCCCTAATAGTGAGCGCTGATGTATTTTCCCAAATCCGGACGTTGTGCCCAGAATGATTGCGCGTGCCTTTTTCGAATACCGCAGCCCTTAATGTGTCATCATTGTTTGTTGATTACTCTTCATTGGACCCTATACATGCTGCCCAAACCAGTTGCCCCGAAAAAACGTAGTGGCATCTGAACCCAACACGAAAACGGGTACAGTCGGGGGGGAGGGGGGGGGGGGGGGGGGGGTCGACCGTTTTGGGTAACGGGGCAATGCCATACATCGCGTGCAAAAAGGGTTGAACGTTTTGAAGCATTCTTGATTCTTGTGAAGACGCGCTATTTCCTCGTCTTATTGCCACAAAACCCATGCGCTGCGGATGTGTGAGCTTGGAACCCGGCGTGCTGCTACAATTACTGTTCTGTGATAGTAGGGCTTGGGGATCATTTCGGGCTTGGGTTCGGTTGGGAGAATTTGGTTTGGTTTAAGTGGGTTTGAGTTGGGTGGGATTGGTTCGATACGTCAAGGGATTTCCTGCATGAGTGAAGTGACGACCACCTCGTCCATTGCTGACTGTACATACTGCTGTATTCAGTTCGAGTCGGCCTGAGGTGAACCCTGCTATCTGACAGGCAAGGGAAGCAGCGAGGGACGTTGCCGGTGTGGGTTGACGTTGGCTGGGATTGCTTGCTTGCTTGCTATAGGTTTTTGCAATTTTGCACATTCACCGCGAAAACCAGGCCTGACACATTCAGCGGAAAGGATGGGAGGGGAGGAAGGGATTAATTTTGGCGATCGAAAATCGACGGCCATCCAAGTTTCTTCCATGACAATCGATGTCTACCCATTCGAGGGAGTGCATGAGCTGTAATGGATGCGATCGCGAGTAGGCCAATGAGGTACTTCGCCGAGGCCAACCAGGCGGAAGTTACACAGTTCTCGAGATCGGTGACGTGTCCAGCGACATCCATCAACATTATGGCGTGTCCCAACCAAGCCATAGAGTACGTCCCACATACAGTTTGCACGGGTGAAATACGGTAAATAAAGTTTTAGATCGGTGAAGCCAGATTACCGTCTCACAGCACGAGTCGAAGATGCTACAGTGAGTGGAAACCTCCTTAGGAACCATGCCTGCATAATCTCTTATAAGGGAAACCCTTACTCTAATCAGCAAGTAAACGATGTGGTCAAATGGTACAATCGGATTGCAATAGAAACCATAACCTACCGCCCAACATTATCGACAATGATCTGTCATTTATCATTAAAATGAAAACAGAACTTGAAATGCTAGAGTCTTGTTCGAAAATGGCGCCACTAGAAAACCCTTACGCATAAACGCACGCACGCACACTCATGCAGCTTCCCCTTCCCCTACCCACATCATCCACCCAAATGACCTACCTATCGTAATCCCCCATATATAAGACCCGACGAAATAGTCAGCCCAGGGGTGGCATATGCGGGGGATACCTTATGATATGGCACATTTTTTAGAGTACCCGCTTTGTTAACGTAGAAACGAATGAATTACTAGGAAGAGAAACATAGAACAAATACCAGTTGGTTGTACTCACTAGAAGCACACACCTAGTCTAGCCTATAACTTCTACATAGATAATATGTATAAGTTGACACACCCCCTAGGCTAGACAAGGGGTGGAGCTAAGCAAGAAGCACACAGCCCAGGGTGGCACTACTAGTCCAACCACTGAGACAGGGGTCTGGAGACCAGTCAGCAAGAGTACAAACAAGACTAAAACCAACCAGGGCGGCACTACTAGTCCAGCCACTGAAGGTAAGGCCACAAGGCCAGTCAGACAGGTATATATATAGTAGAGAGTACACAATCAGGGTCCTAACAAGTGAGAAGCTACAGGAACAAGACCAAGCTGTACACAGTGCCGCTGATGATCTCTAGGCGCAAGCGCCTTAGTAAAGATATCAGCTGTGTTGGCACCGGAGGCCAAGTGAACGACGCGGGCCTGGCGACGCTGCTGTAGCTCGCGCAGGAGGAAGTACCGCAGCTGGATATGCTTCGCCCGGCCCTCAAGTCGAGGCTCCTGACACAGGAGAATCATGGCCCTGTTGTCAGCGTACAGGACCGGGGCAGAACTAGGCCGCTCACCTAAGTCAGTGAGCAAGAAGGTCAGCCCGCGGAGCTCCTGTGCCGCCATGGCACCAGCGTAGATCTCAGCCTCACAGCTGGACTGAGCAACAGACGACGAGCGAGTGGATCTCCAAGAGATAGCACCCGAACCAAGGCTGAGCCAGTAGCCCTGAGACGACCTAAGAGTCTCAGAGTCGTCTGCCCAAGAAGCGTCTGTGTGCCCAGTGAGGACCACTGGCCTGCGTCCTCCTAGCACTAACCCCATGCCCGATGTACTTGCTAGATATCGCAAAACCCTCTTAGCGACCGACCAGTGCTGAGGTCGGTGTCTGCCAGTGGCCACAAAGCGAGCCAGGATGCTGAGAGGGTATGCAAGATCTGGGCGAGTGCAAGTCATCAGGTACATGAGGCAACCCACCAGCTCTGCGTAGGGGCCACTGGGCTCTACTGGCTCCTCAGGAACAGGAGCGGAAAGCCCATGGTCTACTGGAAGAGGTGTGGGCTGTGCGGAGGAGAACTGAAGACCGAACCTCTGAAGGACCTGACGCACCAGGTGTGACTGTGTCAGAGTGATGGTGCGTGCTGCTCTGTCCCTAGAGATCTGCAGGCCAAGATAGCGACGCAGCTCTCCAAGGTCAGTGCAGGTGTGTCTCTTCAGCAGCTCGGCCTTCACAGAGGCCAGTGCGTCCCTGTCAGCAGTAGCAAAGACCAGGTCGTCTACGTAGACAAGGATGTAGAACGGAGTCTGGCCGGAACGCACAAACAACGACGGGTCAGCAGAGGACGGAAAGAACTGCAGGTCTGCTAACGTGGCCCGCAGCGTGTCGTGCCACTCGCGAGGAGCCTGACGCAGGCCGTAGACTGGGCGCCTGAGAAGCCACTGGGTCCCAGGGGGGAAGGTACCAGTGAAGCCCTGTGGTCGGCGCAGGTAGACCTGCTCGTGTAGGCTGCCCTGAAAAAGGCAGTAGAGAAGTCGAGGGATTGAAGCTCGTAGTCGCGCTGTGCTGCTACGTGTAGCA